TTTTTGTTCGAATGAGTGAAAAAATTTTTATGATGACTGCCTAATTTGGAAAGAGGCTATCAGTTAAATTCTTGACCTTATTGTTGATTATAGTTGAACTGCGTTGTGATGCGTGGCGTGAACGATGATGAACTTTGCGATTTCGTCCAGTTGACAAGAATGATGGTGAAAGCTGCATGATGGTTTTTTAGTGAAATCTCACATGTCTGTTTCGCTTAGAATTTGGACGTAAGATTTATCGAATTTATGCCATTTTCGGGTAACAAGTGGAGCCAAAGAAAATTCTTTCCCTATTCAGAAATGCTTGGTATGATCCAGAGAGTTTTCCCTGAACTGGTGAAGTTATCGGATACGCTGGACAGTACTAGTAAGGTAATTCTATTCATCATGGGAAAGATAAAAGGTTAAATTCAAAGTTTCGTCTTCCTCGCCCTACTAGTGAAATAGAATAGTGAATTAGTGAAATATACTGTTCTTCTCGATCTCCCTTAGCGTTCCCGTCGCGGAAAGGGGGCCAAGATCAGAAGACGATTAATAAACCTGTGTGCATCTGGTTGTCAGAGGTGGTTATATTATGCAAGGTTGTACGAAAAGCCCAAACGGAAGAATACGGATCAAGAGCCAAAGCATGTTATGACTTCTGAAGAAAGCTCGATGAAAATTGTATTTTGCCATTACATCTCTCCTCACGGCAGAGGTTAACACCGCCAGGTGAGATGGATGGAACGACCTTGTCCCTGATGCATGATGTCTGGGAATGGAAATCAAATAACATATTTCCTTTGTATGGCCAAACAGAGAAATCCGACACAATATCGTTGTAGACTTGTACATTCGTGCTTTCTCCCTTTGGAAGGAGGGTAGAATTTAATATTCGCATCGAAGACTTATTATCCCAATCATGCATGTGACAGTTTTAATCCTGATTATATATGCAGCACTGATGAAACCAACCTGCAGAATATTTTGCCTTTAATTTCTGTCATACGATTTAACGGACATCAAAAGCACGCCTGAGGATCCATTGATTTTGCTGAAACTCAGCCACCTGCGAGCTACAGTTTACTGTTACGGCCAGTACTTCGAGAAATAAGGTTCTGTGAGACTCTTACGATAAAGTGCGAATTATTTAGGCCTACAAAATCCCAGGCTACGTCGGCCAGATCGGCTTTATTACGAGTATGAGCAAAAACTTTTGTTCGTCTTGTACAAGACTGAGGATCACCGCCGATGGAAACTTGAAAACGTGTTTGCACGGCGCCTCGGAAGTTTCCTTGCGAGACGCCATTCGACAGGGAAAAACCGAACAAGAGCTGTGCCAATTGATCAGCGACGCAGTGAAGGCTAAAAAGGCTGCGCATGCCGGTTCGTTACTTATAACGCTGAAATGATTGTGAATTATGGCTGATTTTATAGGAATGCTGAACATCGAGGCGGAAAAGAATCGACCAATGATTCTGATCGGTGGGTGACAAGGTATTATTATTTAATGTGCTTCTCAAACGATTTGAATTTCCATGTAAACTTACCGTATGCTTCACACCATGGATTAAGTTATTCCGTAGTATTCATGATCCCTTCTATTTTATAAAATTACGTTAAAAGGTTATTCTTTTACACAAACTAAGAATTGCAAAATCATTGACGTTTTCGGATGGTCGGCAACAGTTGCCTCAATGTATTAAGATACTGGCGAAACGTTTTCATTCGATTCCATCGTGTCGAAGACGACACTTGCCGTAGCACAATCGATAGATCTGGATCGAGCGACGCGTGCTAACTGTTCGATTCTTTCGATTCCAAGTCAATCCTAACGAGATCTACCCTTCTTGTCGTAGGCCTTCCGTGGGACCACCTGCTAACAGCCTTTACGTCCAACATCCACTTCGAAAGGAGGATTGCCGCCTATTCGCTGGCAATGGGATTACCACCATCTTAAGCGATTTGCGTGCCAATCGGTCACCTTATTTGGACATTCTGACCTCTCTGACTCCATTTTACACTAGATCGCATCGCCTCGCTCCTCACATTCATCTTAAAATCTGTATGTCCGTCACTTCCAGTATTCTGTCAGTTCTGCTAAGTGCTGCCACTGTCCAGAACATAGAGAAAGATTTTCAGAATGCGAGCCCTTTTTATCCACAGCCTCTTGCTACTGCTGATATCTTTGTCTTTTCAGACCTTTAATTACTTTCTGCTCTCTGCTAATGGCAATGCAAAGTGCTTCTTAATTTTGTGCCTTTCCGTGTGCAGCCAATGTGCTCCCAAAACACAGAGGGAACTTTGGCTTAAGTTCTAGAAATTTCCATCCTCTTCGTCGTAGTATGATAAATCGAAAGATCCAGAGGAGACCACTTCGGTTTCAAAGTCAGAAATGGTGATATCGCTGCTTCGAAGTTGTCTGCTGGCTATGCGACATGATCCGCAGGCGTGAGCTAGCTTTCGCACTTGTTACTCACTCTTGCCGCAGTCGTAGCTTCAGTCTTTCTCATCTGCTGGAGCACTTAGTCTAGAAACATCGGACAGAGCAGAGGGATTCCACTCCACCTCGCCCTACTCTGAATTTTTTATGAGGGAATTTGTGTAACTTACTGTCAATTCGCACTGTAGCTGAAGAACGAGTATACATCGTTTCAATTACGTGAATAACCTTTGGTGGGTTTCCGTTTTATTCATAAATTTTATATAAAACATCTCGTGGGATTGAGTCAAACGCTCTGGCTAAATCAACAAAGATTGCCATGAGTTCAGGAAAGGTTTTCTCTTCTTTTCCATTAGCTGCCATTTTGCAAATGTCTGATTCAAGCATCCTGTGTATGTCCTGCATTCGCACTACAGTTCGTCAAGGATCATCCCAAGATATGTGAAATCCTGTTTACCGTAATACACGTGAACTCGTTAGCAGGCACGATAGCAGGCTTATTTCACGGTAGCTATTTGGATCCGTTTAAATATTGACACAGCAATATCTTGCGTGCGGTCATTTAGATCTCACCTCTCTGTTATTCCAATCTAAATAAATTCGCCAATGCCAGAACTCCATTGGAAATGCCTCATTAATTGGTTCCGATAGTATTCCATCAATTCCCGCAGTCATGCCATTTTTCAATTGGTATTAGGTTTCACTCACTTCTTCAAGGGTCAGAATGGTCAGATGAATATCAGCATTGGCATCCACGATATCGAATGATGACTGTTGTTGTTTCAGGCATGTCGAATAATGAATTTTATTTTTTCAGGCATAATGTCGAATAATGATTATTTTTCAAAATTGCATTATGGTTAAATAGTGATTGAAAAGTTCTTCCCATATCTCCAAGATTTTTGAAGAATCGTTCGTGATATTACCGTTCTTTTTCTTAACGATTTTTATTCAGTGATTTTTTGTACAAGTAGCAGTGAACTTTCCTGAACAAAAACTTCGTATCGTTTTTTCGAACCGGATCTTCCTGTATTCATGCCATTCACACATTGTCGCTTGCATCGAAATTGAAGATTAGTGTTCAATTTGGTCAGTATTAATGTAATAGGCTTTTGCGGTGGTTTGTTTCGTTTAGAAACACTTTCTAAGCTTACAAAAAATTTGTACAGTATGAGGCGACTGAGCACAAGAAGAGAAACATCA